TGCTGCAGTGGAAATGCACATGGTGCAAAAATAGCTCCACATCTCAGTTGCCCTGAAAATAGTATGAACCTCGGGGGCTACAACTCTGCAGGGAAACACTGCACTCCATTTCACAAGAAAGTTTTAATTACACTTAATACTTCATTAATTATATACACTCTGTGTGTTTTCTGGCACTTCTGCAAACGAACTGTTTGGCCAACTGCTGTTGTACAAAAGGCCCGAGCTGATCAACAGTCGGAGGTCGCCGTCGTCTGCGCCTCCCTTTTTTATGAGATGCTAAACATACTACAGCCATGAAGCCGCAGTTGTTTTGTGCCAAATGAAGCTTAAATTATTGTCTTGAAAAAAATTAATCAGATCATTTTCATCAGCAGCATGTAATATGTCACATCTTGCTTCAACAAAACAACAAGGTTTGGGTAAATATCCAAATTATAGACGATAGCCTTTTATTGTATTTGAATGCAGCTCTGCAACCCTGCTGTTGTCGATGTTTAATAACGAGGAACATATATTTGTGATATGCATTCTTATAAACACAAACATACATTTAGCAACACACATATACATGTATGCACATATACACACCAATATATATATACATATATACATATAAAATATAGACATCAATATACAGAAGTATAGACATAAATATATTTACATATATTTATGTAGATATATTTGTGTATATGCATGAATGTCAAGTTATATAAGTGGATTTATATTTATTTACGTGTGTATATGTACACATGCACACCATGCATATATATATATATATATATATATATAAATAAAAGTATGTAAACTGCAGTAAGTTGTTGAAACTTAGTTTCAAAAACTTAACAGTTGTTAAAAAACAGTTGTTAGTTTTCAAAACAAATGATGTTTCCTTTTGAACTACTACCTACAGTTGATGGGCTGAACCTGAAAAGTACAGTATGAACAAAGTTAAGTTAGATAGGTTACAAATAAAAAGTGTGGTTTTGGGTTCAGGGCATTTCCGCTCTAGTCATTCATGATGCACTATTGTTAAACATGAAACACGTCGAAGCATAACAGTCATTCACCAGGTGTAAAGGCAGGACTCCAACTCAAGATGAACGCTGCGAATCCCTGACGACAGCAATGGAAAGAGGAAGAGAATTTTATTGCTAAATCCAGAAACTTTTTTATGAAACATTCAGAAGAATCTACTAAACTCTAGTGACTTCTTTATTTTTTTAAAATCAAGTAACTGTCACTCATCAGCTGTCATTTCTGCTCAAATATGATCCCAGGTCACACTTTCACCAACAGACCACAAAACAATAGAACTGTCCATGTTGCCCTCCAGTAAAACCCCCAAAACTTCCCTTTAAAAAAGGAGGTTGTCTCATTTTTCCAGCCTATGTCACCATTTCCAGCAGCTCTTTCATTCTTCCTGCATGTGATCAGCACTGA